TATTATATTAATAAAATAATATTTAAATATAATTAAAAGTAATAACTCTAATTATATTATTATAATTAAATTTAATTATATAAATAAATTAATAAATATAAAATTATTATAATAATTAATATAATTTATAAAATTAATAAGTTAATTTTATAATTAAATTTAATAAAAATTAAAATTTTTTTTATATTTAAAATTTATAATTTATTAAAAATAATTTTTATTTTTATATTAAAATAAAATTTATAATTTTAATATATATTTTTTTAAATTTTTTAAAAGAGTTATTCTAATTATAAATTTTTAATAAATATTTTTCAAATTAATTTTTTTTAATTAAATAATTTTGTAATTAAAATAATTCTTTTAAATAAGAAATTGATATTAAATTATAAGACTTTAATATAAAAAAATCTTTAATTTTTATTAATAAAATTAATTATTTAATTTTATAATTATAAGAGTTATTGTATATAATATTTAATTTATTATTTTAATAATTTGATTTTTAAAATATTAATATCAAAATTATTTTAATTTTAATATTAATCTTTAATAATAATTAATTCAAATATAAAATATATAATAATAATTATAATACTTGAATTTTTTACTAATAAAATATATATTTTTTATTAACAAATATTTTTTATTTTTAGCTTAAAATAAAATTCTTTATTTCACATATATATTTTTCAATCTTTTTCTGAAAAGTTATTCTAATTAGATATAAAGTTAATTAATTATTAACTTTATATTTAATTAAAACAATTCTTTTAGAAAAAATTCAAAAGATCTAGAATTTAAGCTTTATTTTAAATTTAAAATATTAATAAAAGTAAAACTTTTATATATAATAAATAATACATATTTTACTAATTACAATTATAAAAAACTTTATAAGATTAATAACTTTTATAATTATAAAATCAATAAATATTTTTATAAAATAAGTTTATTCTAATTATATTATTATGTCCCATTTTATATATAATTAGAACTTGTAGAAATCGACCAATAAAATTAGAGAATAGAAACTGATCAGTCAATGGATGCGCTAATTTTAGCTTCAGCCGAAAATAATTATGCACTATATAAAGTTTGTAGTAATTTATTATAGCTTAAATAATTTTCAATATAAACCTAATGCGGTTATGTTTAAACGACTGATTTTTTTGTATGATTTAAAATCATTTTTATGCAAAACTAAACGTTTAATTTTTCAGTCAACCAAGCATTATTTGCACCAAAAATAATTATCCCTGAAAAATTAAAAATTAGAGGTGCAGCATACAAATAGTAGATATTCGCAAATTATTACATCTCTGTAAGTCGCTGTTCCAGAAAAGAAAATTATTTGTGGTTTTTACACTCTTTTTTATTTTGTTCTCAAACAATCTCATTAATGAAAATAAATATAACGAACACAATACCAATCCTAATCCTACTTACTAATTACGAGCAAACATTATAAGTAGCATCCATTCTTTTATCAAAATTTCAAAGGTTCAAATTTTGTATTTTGTTTGCGGAAGGTGCAAAAAAGACAAACATCGAGGAATATATAATTTATATATTTATCTTTATTTCGAATTTACTGTCAAATTCATTATTAAAAATAGAAAAAAAAATGAATTTAGATAAGTAATATGAAAAAAAAGACATTAATAATTATACATACGTAGTTTTGATTAATCAAATAATCAGCCAAACTCTCGACAATTTTGTTAGCCGTGCCAGGCTGTGTACCTTCGACATATCTGCCAATGATTGCAGCTTGTTTTGTCTTTACTATAACAATACCATTCGCACCCTTTTTTTGTGACAAAAAAAGAGCGAGAGCAGTAGATTAATTGATTCATTAACTCATTGATTGTTAAATTTTCAATCATCCTGTTGATTCTCATTCACTCACCTCTTTTCCATAAATACTTCTATCATCGGCACGTAATGTAAAATATTTTACACCATTTACATGGAGTCCATTGGCTTGGATATTTGTAGGATCGTTAAAGGCTTTGATTATAGTATCAAATTCCGCACTGTTAACCTATATTATAATAATGTATTATTTACCGATCAAGCTTATACGTCATCTGCTCAATATTTAAAAGCAGCAGAAAAAATTTTAAAACTCACAGTAAATCCTTTCGATGTCGCCCATACTGCGCCATTATGACCATGAATTGCAGCTTCAGCTATACTGCCAGTGCCAACTATGATAACAAGCAAAATAACATGAAGAAAAGGCCGAAAAAATCCAGCAATTTAATCACGCGAACAAATATACAGGCAACCACAGGTCTTTGCTAAAACACGCAGAACCAGGTATTAAACGTATTTACCCAAGTTTGTATCGACATAGGATTGCCAACTCATTATGAATCCGTTGCAAAAAGAAAAAGGATGTTTTAATTATGCTCTTGATACGTAGATTAAAGGTTTTTTATGCATTGTACATCGGTTACACCAAATCTTTGTGTTTGTGATAATTCCCCAATGAAATTCACATGATGTATATATAGAGGAAAATCTCTATCAATCCATCAATTGATTATCTACCAATATCACCAATAACACTGCCTAAATTTTCATTTTTAAGCTACACGAGACTAGGAGACGATAAATATTTTCTATAGCATTACACGTTCTGTTTTTATTCCTTAGAAGCTAATATTTTCGAGATTTTCATGGCTACACTCTCAATAAACATAATAACACATTACGTACCTTTTCGGCATTATAACCAATTTCACCAAATTATCCGTAAAGCGCCTCGCGTTCACAACAGCCATAAACATTTTTTTATACCATTAGTGTTTGGGACCAACTCTTTAGCAAAAAAAAGTTTTTTTCTTGCAAATCAACAATGTCAAGCATATTTTACAACTCCGACACATGATTCACAACAACCCTCGCAAAAATCACCAGAAACGCAACCTACTAACACCGACCATAGTTCAAAATTTTGGTGGCTACTTCCGGGTTCAGGACGACGACGACAAATTCGCATAACAAAAGATGGCAAATTAAGTTGGGATGACTATTTCTGGTTAAGAGTGCGACGTAGAAATACAGAACGTGCGTTCACGATACCATCGACACTTCTTGGATTTGGTTTGAGCACAGGGTACGTGGTTACGAGAGAATTGGATCCAACACCGATATTAGGACAGGATCCAGCTGTGATATATGGATTGAGCATTCTGCTGTGTTTGTTTAGTGGCCTTTTGATTGGACCAGTAATTGGAAGTGGAGTTTGGAAATTGTTTCATAGACGGGAAGTTAAATTGATGGAAGAGGTATCATTAAACATATAAGGAATTAAAAATATTCCCTCAAAAAGTTTTTTGTTCTATATTAATATTTGTATCTTTCTCCCTTATAAAAAAAAACCCAGCGTGATCGAGAATTCTACGCACACATTAAAACAAATCGAGCTGATCCATCGTTGCATTCAATTAGAAATCCTGCTCCCGATTATTATGGTGAGAAGATAAAATCAGTAGCCGAATATCGGAAATGGTTGAGAAAACAAAGAGAGTTTCTGAGGAAAGGAACTTTTCATCTCGGAGAAGAGGAGTGAAATAATAGTAATCGATTAATTTTCTATGGTTCTGTATAAGTGAATTTGATAGAATATGGACAAAAAAAAATCGTATTAATAATGCATTAAAAAGGAAATTAAAAAATTATTCACGTGAATCTAATGATTATTAGCTGGATATGACGATAAGATAGATAGATCAGTATTTCACGCCGGTTTTTATTGGTGGATCAATGATGATGATAACTAAATTCAGTCAAAAATACTAACGTTAAAAATTAATAAAATGAATTTTAAAATTAAGGCGTGTAAAAAGCCGAAGGAGATTCTTCTTTTTTCCCAAGTTAGCTTTATTTCGTGAACATTTCACCACGTCTTTAATAACCACAAAATTACAAGACGCGTCAAAATTAGCTTTGGCGTCGCTTCTTGAAAAAATGGACTTGTTTCATAAATATGACGATGCAATTGTTAAGAATGCGTCACAAATCAATTCTATCGAAAGTTCCTTGCGTATGTTGACGTACGTGCTACCAGGTATGACAAAATTTCGAATTGAATATTTGACCTTGGAATTTATTTCCCATGATTGATTATAGCAATTATTTTCTACAAAATAGGACGGTTTGAGGATTCCGAGTTGGCATCAGAAGCTCGTAAGTGTTTTTGACTCTCAAATATCTAATATTCAATAGAAACAAAATAATCCCTGTAAATTTCGCTTACGTTTCATTAGTATTCGCTGCATTGAATCTTATTGGATTATATCATGATTCAATTTTGGTGCGTGCTGCTGCCGCCAATCTTCCATCGGCAAAAAGACCGACACCTTCATCACATAATCGATACACACGATATTGGATCAATTCATCGAAATCATATAAAACTGCCGCATTTCTGTTGACACTTCTTCAGTGTACTGATGTGTTAATGGAGATGAGTATTCAAAAAAAATATGGGAAAGAAGTGAAATGGAATTTTATTACCGCGATTGAAACGATAAAGTATTTATTATAGATTTAATAACTATTTGCCAATGGTTTAAAACGGCTCGTTTCAATTAGTCACTTTTTTCTCTCTAAAAGAACATTTTGCAGATTTGTACTCTTATACCGAACTCGTAGTCGAATTGTGGTTCAACCATCTATTCCTAGACGTGAAATTGATCCAGCGATCTTTAATGAAGACCAAGCGAAAGAAAGTCCTAGTGCAGAGACCACAGAAACATCCTGGTTCACTACTATGAGTGAGGAGAAAAATGAAACATGGACTGGAACACGTACTGGACATAAACGTTTACATATTTCTGCGGTTGGTCAACATAATATTCCTGGGAATAATAACCGAGATGTCTTTGACTATCTAACGAAGCGTGTGTTGATGGTGGAAGATGTCAGAAATCCTAAAGACTTGATTAATATTATGAATTTCATCGGTTCTCTTGGTGAAATCTTGTACATATTAAGGCCATTAATATATGGTAACTAGTAAATTATAGTCATTGCAATTATAGATGTTCAAAGTTTTATAATGATAACTATATTCATTTTTTGGATGATAGTGATTTCTATCAGAAAGTATGGAAATCAATCGTGGATGCCATGGCTAGCATCATTCGCCATTGAAGCATCATCACGTTTACTTATCGATATGTATTATAAAAAATCGATACCGGGTGGTTATCGTTGGCTATCAAGTCTTGAGAAAGAAGAGTATAAAAGGAGATCCCGTCAATTCTTTTACTATTTCTTGAGAAATCCATTCTATTCCAAATTCACAAAGTAAGTCCTATTGGTGGTTCATATTTGATACGAGACACAATATCTTCCAAGTTACATATAATACATCTTTGCAATAATCCGTTTCTTTTTATAGGCAAAAGATTGACGCCTTTTGTAATGCTGTGAGTACCAAACCGATATTGTCACTTTTAGGTGGCATTTTACGAGATTATCAACCATTAATAGAAAATCTTCATTACTACAGTAAGTCCTTTTTTGTATTGTCATTTTTTTTATTTAATAAAAATAACGACTTTCATTTCCGCATGCTTAATACTTTTATTTTATTCATAATAGCTGCTTCGTCATGAACATCATAATATAATTTAGCAACAAATAAGTAAACTTGTGGTTTTTGCATGGGAACGCGTAATTGGGTGACTTTGTAGAGTTCTGTATTTGGTTATCAATAATAAAATATATCTCGTCAGTCTGTCATGAAATTTAACATTGGAAAAATTTTTCGTCACGTTGATCCGCTGTATGGGCACTGTATAAAAGAATCCCTCAAAATAATTCAATACCCTCCGTGATTTAGATCTGGATACTTTTCACTGTTTATTTTAATTTAAACTTGAATAATATCCGGGTCTTTTCAAAAGTCGATATTTATAAAAATGTTTACGATCAATATAGTGAGAATATATTTCTTCAGTATTTTATCTAATTGGACTTTAATTTAGAATTTAAATATAATATCCAGTTCTACACGTAGTGCTATTCAATTAAAATAGTATAAGTTTTGAATAAGACCTCCATACTATATACAGTGTTATACGGTATTTCAACTAACCAAATCCAGAAGACATACTGTGAAAAAAAACCAATCATTGAAATAATGGTGACTTGACTAAGTGATTGTCAAATGTTTCCGCGTGACATTAAAAAGATCATATCAATATTTCGGTTTCTCAAATTGAAAAAATAATTTTTTTTGGCGTTCAATTAAATGATAAATATATTTTATGTCAATAACTGTCGTTTTTTTCCCTTTGTTATCTATTGTTACTACAGTAAAATTAATGCTATAATAATAAATTAAATCAAAAATTACTCTTTATCGATCTTTTCTGCTAATACGACTGCACACATTTCATCGTGACTCAATATGTGAAGTGAATTGCTCCCAGAAATAATACCAATCTTCCTCATTTTTCTGAGAACCACCCACATCAACCAATCCAAATTTCAGCACTATATCGCCCCTGACATCATTCTTTGACGTACGTTTCTGTAAAGTAAAAGCGGCCGGTTGATTCGCCGGATCATCATAAGCACGTGGTTGTCCGTCGTTTATTCCACCATTATTACGCGCGAATACTTGTTTTAATGGGATTGTCACCTCCCCGAGAAAGTCACGACCAATTCGGTCTTCATCCCATACGGTGATAGTTATGTGTTGTGGTATTTTTTCGGGTCCTAATTTTGCATCGAAAACTCGGTTCCAGACTGGGTTAAGATTTTTGTTGATTACTTGTGTCTGGTATTTTTGATTTCCAACTCGGACAACTACATATGGATCGGAAAAACCATCCTTATCTCTTTGATCATTTATGATTAATAAAAGAAAAACATAATGTATCAATATAAACGATATCCTATCAAGAAAATACCCTCAAATAATAGAGTTATCATTTGTATTCACTTGGAAGAGATTATGTATATACTCGGCCTCTTTATTTTCCCTATTCACAAAAAAGAATACTCACGCAGCCGCCAAATCTCGAGCAGCAAGAACCCCGATGCGTAAAATAACGCCGCCACCTCCGGACATTGTTATAATATTTTAGAAATATTTTAGAAATATTAGATTGAATACGAAAACAAACTTTTTTATGTTATAAAATTTTCACTAAATTAGAAATATCGGAAAAACAGCTTTCTCAGCTGAAAATATATATATCTATTTTCTAGAAACATAATTTTTGTGCGCTTGATATTGAAATTCCTTTTAGAAAGTTTTTAACAAACACCCCAATCCACCAATCTTGTATTATTAACATAATCACATCTAAGATGAGAAATTTCCGATTGGTTTAATAATGAATGACATGCGTTAGTCACCATTCAACATTTGAGTGATAAATTATGATTGGTTGATGTAATAATCGGAAAACCAATCAAATCTCACATATGTATTGCTCGGAACATGATTCTAAAAATAATTCAATCTATATGCTATATGGTTCAATAAAATGAATTATCGTTATGGTTAATATTAAGTTTACAAAATTTCTCCCACTGCTCGTATTATTTGATCCGATTTGAATATCAATAAATAGATAAAAATAAATTATCTTTTTCAAGCCTCATTCCAAGCAATGATTGCCATCATCCCAACACCAATGAACATAGCCAAAAACTCAATACCAGCTTGCTTTAAATCTTTACTCAACTTTCCAGTCACTTCCAGCAATTCTGGAATCACACCCACCGTTGCAATATACAAGAAACCACCAGCAGTAAAAGGAATGACTAAATCACTTAGATGTGCACTAGTACCCATTATCCCAGATGTATGATAGCCAACTGTTCCATCGTCCCCGTAAGAATCCCCGCCTTGGCTAAATTCTTCAATTGCAATTCCGGCCAATGTACCAAGAAACGCACCTATAGCAGTCCCGAATTGAGAGAGTAACGCGTATCTTTTTGTGAATCCACTTTGAATTAGAATCGCATAATCACCAATTTCATGTGGAATCTCATGGAAAAAGACCGCAACTGTGGTTGTGGCGCCGATACTTGGAGATGTGTAGAATGAAGCAGCCATAGCAAGACCATCGGTGAAATTATGTGTTGCGTCGGCAATAAGATTCAAATATGCGGATAATTTTATACTAGAGGAAGGTGATTTTTTATGTTCTTTATTGTCATCTTCTTCTTGCTTGTCGGTTATCTCTTTCGATTCTCCAGGTTTTCGCTGACGAAGTGTCTTTGCATCTGTACTTGGTTGAGATGTCGATGTGGTTACCGCTGATGATAAATCTGTTTGCGAATGCGAATGTGAATGCGAATGCGAATGTTCTCCATCTTCTCCACTTGCAACACGCATCATCTTATCAATTACAAAAAATGTCGTCAATCCAATGAAAATTGCTAATCCAATGACAACATTCTTCTTCTCTTCTACTTGCACAAAATGAACTTCATCGTCGTTATTCTCTCCCAAAAAGGATTGTGGCAATAAATGCAAAAAAACATCACCAAGTAATCCACCAACCGCAAAACTGACAAGTGAATTAAGCGAAGAAGGTTGGATATCAGGCGGAACAAAGAATAAAATGAAATTGGGCACAGAAGAAATGTAAAATGTGGCTAATAATGAATTAATTTTGGGACTTCCTGGAAACAAATAGGCGAAAATTGTTTTAGTGAGATTGCTTTCAATCATTTGTCTTTCGCGTTTTTGCCGACTCAATTCTTGAATGTATGGACAAGCATGACTGTGGTCAATATATGGGTATTTATTATTTTGGATCTTTTTACTTGCATATGGACAACTAGAGATATCTTTTCCTTCTATTGCTGGATGCTTTCCGTCCTTTATTAATTCCTTGAGATAATCACAATTGGCGGCTCCTTTATCGACTTCTTGCGTATGCAATTGTTCCATTTTAACAATAGGTATTTGGCGTATCAATAGTAAGATTATTAATAAAAATAATAGTATGCGCATATTTACGCGACTTCGCCGTGACCCTTCATATTTTCGTCCCATGCTATGCTTTTCTTTATGTATAAATTATGATTAAAAAGAAAGAGAATTTTATAAATACAATGGCAAAATGATAGAGATAAAAAACCTACAAAACCTAAAAAAAGTTTGTACACATTTACACGCCCAATAGAAAAGAAGCACGATTTGGTTTTTTTATTGGCTCCTCACATCTGAGATAAAATATTTATCGAAATTGCTGCGGAGTAAGAATAATTCCTCTGAGTCATGAAAAAAAAGTTTACAGGGTTAACCTCGATATGATTCCAGAAAGCTAATAGTAAAGCCCCTCCGCCAGACCATTTCTGTAACATGGTGACTGTTCCAGTTGGTCGACTCCTGTGAAATATTGGCATAATAAAAAACAAAGCATTATACTTAGCCGCCCTTCTGCATCGATTAGAAGCTCTGAAAAAAGATGGGTTGAGAGCAAAGAACAGGGGAAACGGAAGATATTATAATGCGCTACATAATAGCGAGATTTGATTATCCCGAATTCCCGATTATAATAAAAAAATTTTTATTATAACAACTATTTTTTTCACCCGAGCCTTATACAACTGCAACTGGAAATGATTCTAGCATATGTTATTTGCAATCCAACTTGATGATTAAAAAGCGAAAATAATTATATTACTATGTCTACATTGAAAAACTAATCAAGGAATTAAACTTCAGCAAGTTCAGGAAATACTATTACTAAAGATTTCTTGAATTGTATAATAAGATTATCAATGTTGAAACAATAAAAAAATTGCCCAAGATGTTATTGCATTCGAAAAAGATTTATTTATAGGCAATTATTGATCAAAGATCCCATTACAGCGGTCAATCTTCGAAAAAGAAAGAAAGGGCTATAAAAATTTTCAGTATTGTTGGTGGTTAGATCTTTTTCCGCATCAAGTCTAGATGATCTCTATTGATCGTGTAATAATTAACGCTAAAGTTTTGGAATCTAGATAATTACTGTGCCACCATGACCTGCGAGTCACACCAAAATATCGGTGTCAAAATATTGTGGTATCTTATGCGACTACAGTAAAAGAGAATAAATAGTTTCTCACGTTAAAAAATCAAAAACTTTGAAACTTTATTTTCATGAATTACTAAATGCAAATATCAAATAAATTAGCCCTGCGAAATTCCACCACATAGACTCGTCCAACAATAGGGTGGTGATGTCCCAACACTGTACATGTATTATCTTTCAATATTTGCATGCATGCTATTGAATGCAAGGACTGACTGAATTCAATTGTGATGGGTGTCTGACATAAGGAAATGAGGTTTAGCCAGAAGTATCAAATGATTACTAATCCAAAAAAAAGATGAGATAATATAATATTTATAGTTATACCTTGGGCGATATGATATTTCGGCTAACAAGGCCCGGTTGATTGTATTCATAATCGCTACAAAAAATTTCATAGACACACCATATTAAGAGAAGTTTTTTGTCTCTCCGCTAACCCCTTGGAAAGGACATTTCTTTGGAAGCTTTTTTGCTATAATAAATATTTCATTTTGTGAGAATCAGTCTTTTTATCGATTATACCATCTATACCCGAAAATTCTAATTATTAATAGAAAGCTAAAGAAGAAATAAGCGAAAATAACAAAATAATCAAAGCGAAGAAAGGAACAAAATAAACAAATATATGAATTTTGTGCCCGCATAATCTGATTGTTATATGAAAAAAATATTTTTCGAAGATAGCCCACATGTTATTTTAATAGCGATAGCGATTCATACCATTTTTCATTATGGCCTGTATATAAATGAAATAACTGCACATTGAGTATTTTCCCTTTTTGCTATGAACGAAATGCTTACTGAAAATAGTGGCCTGATTACCAAAGTAAAGTTTTATTCAACAAATCTCGAAGATGCTCTGGAATACTAATATATGGGTAATATTAACAACCCTCGAGTTGATCTTGTGCTTGTTTAATGAAATCATTTGGATCTCATATATCTTTCATGCTATAGTTCTTGCACTTCAATCGCGAAGTCATATTGTGAATAGTGAACATCAGATTCTGGTTCTTGATGTTTTTAAAAAAGTTCAAAGATTTATCTTAAATAGAGAACCATTATCGTTATATTTTGTGTCAATTTCAAAGTTTTTTGTTTATATAAACAAAATATGCATCATCTGGAATATATTATACAAGTAAATTATGTTACTAATAAATTTATTAATAAGAAAATACAGTGGCGATCAAAAGTAATGTGTGATTATAATTTTGAGTCATATTATTGTTATCTTTTGATTCAGTTTTGTACTGTATTAATATCATCTGATAAATGATGAATTAAAGAAAATATCCAGTCTAACATTTATCTTCTTTATTTTCATTATCTTCTATTGATGATGAATATTTCAAATCAATAGGTAATTATGTATCTCTTTTATAAATTAAGAAGAAGAGTTCATGTTTGATAGTATTATTTTGAAGTGTTCTGTATGTAAATAATACTAATGATATATACATATCTCATTACTCATCTAATATAATACAATATTTTTAAAGTACTCTATATAAAGTTTTATTAAATTATTCTATTATTTCATTGGTCTGTGAATAATATAATGATAAAAACTTGTATTTAATTCTAAATCAAGTGGTAGATTCTTCAATTACTTAAATTGTAAATTCAGTTTCTTGATTAGATTATAATTCTTTTGAATATCTATATCTACAAATTATTTCTTTGAAAATAAATTTGACAATAATACTAGTTTCTTTATTTGAAATTACTTTTACTTTAGGCTATTTAGTTAGTAGATCTATTGCTATAGTAATATATTAATTTCTTTTCTTAGTTATTTTACAGGATTTAATAAGATTGATTACAATTCTATCAAAATATTGTCTAATTTTAATAAGATGTAATAATTATTTTATAGTTTATCTATCAGTTCTTTGACAAGTTTTACAAGATCTAACAAAGTTTATATTTATTCTCATTCTATTTCACTAATATTTAATAGTTATTTATTAATAAGTTCTATCAAATTCAAAGTATCTAGCAAGTAAATCTAAATATATATTAATTATTACTATTTTAATTTTATTTTTTTTTTAATACTCAAAATAATATAATAAATTTTTTTCTTTTATTTTTTTTATAAAATATTTCATTAATTATTAAAAAGTATTTTGATTATTAATAAATTTTCTTTTATTATTCTTTAATACATTCTACAGAATAATTTTTATTTTTTAAATATCTTATTAAATCATAATATATAGTTAAATTCATTATGTTAAGTTAATTATATTTGAATAATTTATTTAATTAATTATTTAGTAAAAGTTATTTCAAATATTTTGTTAATTAAGTAAGCTTTGATTTTTTACTCTTGTAAATATATTCTTGAAAAAGTATCTGTATTTTGATTAGTTTTTCCAGCTTGATAGGTAATAATAAAGTTATATTTCATTATAATTATTATTTAATATGAAATTTAGAATTTAGGATTAATTTATTTAGTAAATAACTATTAAAGTATTGTAAGATTATTTTGTTAATGGTTGTAAATAAGATAAAATGCGATATGAATAAGTTTTAATTTTATAACTTATGATTGTTTTTATTATTTAAAAGTATTCAGATCTG